CTCCACTTGTGTCCCGATCTTGACCATGTCCGCCGTCACCTTGGGGTCCTTGTCGAACTCGGCCACGGCGACCATGAGCATCGCGTCAAAGAACAAGTTGAATAGCAGCGAGGCCAGGTTGCATCTCTGTCGGAGGCCTTAGCCCACGTCGAACCATTCCGAGGACTGCTCGTCGTCCGTTCGGACGCGCGCCCTCATGCCCTCTTGGAAGTGGCGAATGACCGCCAGCATCTTCGGGGGCACGCCGAAGCGTCGGAGCACGTCCCACAGTAGGTCTCGGTCCACCGAATCGTATGCCTTGGTGAGTGAGGTCGACGAAGCACGCGAACACCGCAGTACTCTTCTTCCTCCCGAGCTCATGGAGCCGCTGGATGGCGAACAGCATGTCGAGCGTCGACCGGTGTGGGCGGAAACCGCTCTGCTCCTCCGGGAGGATGCCCTCTCGCTCGCAGTAGTGGCTCAGTCGTGTAGCGACGACCTTAGGCAGCACCTTGCCGGCAATACCCTGCGTTTCGCCGTCAATCTGCGTGACCCACTACAAACTAAAAATATTGATAGGTGGGGTATGTACCCCTCCCAAATCCAATACTCTCCACTCTGGGATCACTCCCCCCTCTTTCCTCCCTCCCCCTGCGAGTATTCTTATCTGGCAGCCGCTGTATTGCTGTCGTTCTTATTTGCAGCAGCAGTTTTGCACCTCAGGTGTGTGTTCTTCTTCCGAAGGGCGTGCAGCTGAGCACGTGTTCTTATCGGTAAATTCTTAAGTTTTGGATTTGTTGAGCATCAAATTCTTAAGTGCCATATTCTTAAGTGCGGGCCAGCACTGTATGCACTGCTGTGTATGTGTGCCAGGAAATGTGTACGAGGTCAGAGTGGTGGTGGGAGTGCCACACGAACGACATCTATCTGTCTGTGGCCTGCTGACACTTTAGGCCGGAAAGAGAGGCACGTTGTGTTGTTGTGTTGAATACTTCACATATACGACCTGCAGCTGTTGACACAACTTCGACACCGCGAGAGAATCGGTGTTTTTAGCCTTTGACGTTGTTGGTGTCCTGCTGCTGTCAGCAGGCAAAGAAGCTTGTGATGAAAGTTTATTTGTGCGGGAAGTACGCCGACGGGCGTGTTGGCGGATCAGTTACATGTGTAGTCTATACATAGTTCTGGCGGGGTGGTTGTTATCGTCTGGGTCGACATGTTCACAGCCTGTCATCAAACGCGCTACAGCAGTAGCAAAATTGCTGGTGCTCTGTTCCACTAATTTTTAGTCGGACAACATCAAACACCTCGCGGCGTGACCTGATCTTCCGAGGGACAAATTCTCGTTGTCGAGAACCTATGTGGACAGGCATAAACAGCACCACCTACCATGTTGTCGCGTTCACACCGATGCCCTTGACGCGTGCAGGCCTGCTACGACGCGGGGACGGCGCTCAACGCGCGAGGCCGTGGGGTTCAGCTGAGGAGGCAGGAGTGCTTCACCCAGGCCTGCCGCGCGGTCTGGCCTGACGACTAGCCGCTGCCCGCAGCTGTACTTGCCGCTCATTCGATGTAGTGTGTGGCGCACGTGCCATCGGCTACGCACGCGGGGCAAGGTAGCTATGTTGTCTGTTTTGATGAAGCCGAGACCGGCGGGCGAACGTGCTGGCTCGATTTCCCAATGGGCGAAAGGGCTAGGGTAGATGCAGCATATTGGACATCAACCGAATATCAGCCAGGTCTCAAACATGAACAGCGCACGTGTGTGTTGACGGGGCGGGCTTTGGTGTGTTCCTGTGTATGCTGGAAAGGCTGGTTGTTCACGTGCTGCTGCTAATGGTGAAGGGTTGGGTCAACATTCCGTAACACCTTCGTTGTGCAAAAAAAACAGGAACACGAGTTCGTCACGGTTGTTGTCGGTCGCGCGGAGCCGGGCGGACTTGCACTTCGGGTGTCACAAATGAATAAACATTAATAAATTTTAAAAAGAAGTTTGGCAAGAAAGACATTCGGAAACGTGGTTCCATGTGTCTTGGTTCTTTTGCGAGAGTTTCTTTCGTCTGTCCTTCAGGAATATCTTGGAGGTTCACGGGGATTCCGACAGGTGCACGAGAACATGTGCGTTCAATTCGTTTGGCATTCGAATTAAGCTCATTTATCCCACCTCACATCAACACAAGAAAAACGGGCACGAATATTCTGCCCTGGTAATTGTATGCAGAGCTACTCACCACGCTCACCCCCGTCACAGCCCGAACGTGACACCCCTCAAATTTTCAAAACACACCGAAAAGCGGGGGGGGGG